GCTTGTTCCAGGTTGAGTGTGTGTGTGTGTGTGTGTGTGTGTGTGTGTGTGTGTGTGTGTGTGTGTGTGTGTGTGTGTGTGTGTGTGTGTGTGTGTGAGTGTTATTCCATCTGTAAACAAAATAACTTGAAAGGAATTCTGATAAAACCTTCACGAGTGGGGTCATGTTAACGATCCTTTAACATTTTGATTATGTCCACTGAGGCCTTCAAGGTCAACTTAATGATGATTCTTACAAGTGTAATACGGAGCTGTTTAAAACTTTGTTTATTGCTACCATTGGTTGTGTTGACAACATATAAAGGATATGAGTGAAATAGGGTCAAACTTTCATAAAAGTACTATCCCCTTAAATGTAAAAACTGCTCCCTTGGCAGAGGTTTGTGCTCCCGGAACACTTCTTGTAATAGTTATATATTACATAATGTTTTGTTTATAACTAGTTTATATCGAATTATTGTTTAAATATTATATTGATTATGATTTAATTTGTCATGTGCTTAAACTTCATGCATCGTTAAATGAACTGCTTTTTTGTCCCCTGCAAGTAACCACTTCCTGTTCTTGGCATCACCTTGAAAAGCACACGTAGAAGTGAAGCTTCACTTTGTCTGTCTGTAATCATGTTTGATCCAGATCAATCAGACATTCTCTTTAATTCATGCTTAGCTGTGTGCCATGTCCTCACAGGTACAGCACAAGTTTTTGATGCACATTTTCCGCGTTTGGTAACAGAATTTGTTTTCATTGAAAGCACACGGTGCACACTGTGCTTTGCCTGTGAGGTAGGAGAAAGGTGATTAGAGCTCGGTCTGCAGCCACACAATACGATTAAAGAACTTCCTCTGTCTTTAGTGTACCTGATGCTGTAGTGGACTTGTTTCTGAGAATAATAACAAACACTGTGATGTATTGATAAAATGAACATTAATTGGAATCGATTACAACACCTAGTAGAAGAAAAAGGACATGTTTATATTTAGCATACCTGTGATTCACGATGAGGCTATAATAACTAAAATATACTGATAGTGTTTTTCTCCAACACCTTTGAAAAGTGTGAATTTCCTGTTTGTACTCTTTCTTTGCAGTTAAGCTTGTGAGACCCTGTGTGTGGGCAGAAATAAAGGAAACGAGAAGCACCTTCTGTACTGCTAGACCCTTGTTCTGCATGTGTGGTGGATAGACAAAAGTCATTTTTGTATGTCATGCAGGCTGTTACTCATAACACATAGTTTCCTAATTAGTGAGTCATTTTGGGATCTGATTAGACTTTTCAAACGGGTTCAGTTATTTATTAGGTTTTGCATTATCTAACACCATTTCCATTGAACATATAAGGTTTTTAAAAACATTTTCTTTCCTCACTTTAAACCTGCAGTAGAGCAGAATGCACGATAAGGTGTCATTTTCCACAGCAAGGCCACAAAGATGGAAATCATACGTTGAAGAGTGTTACGCACGCACGCACGCACACACGCACACTTGCATTCAAACACATATACAATGTTTAACATTATTTTGAAAATCTAGAAAACCTCAGTTTTATTGCGAATATACAACTTAACTGACCACTATTAGCTGGCCACTTTATTAGGTACACCTTGTTAGTATCAGATTAGATGGTAATTTTTGTTTCAGAGCTAATCTAATTCTTCATGGCAACAGGGGTGATGGGCTTTTGGTTGAACATGATAGCATATTTGTGCGGATTTGTAAGCTCCTTCATGTGACTTTACCATCCCACCACATCCTAAAAGTGCTCTGGTCAACAGACATGCTAACTGTTCAGTTCAGTTCAGTTTCAGTTTCAGTTTTATTTGTCATATGCAAGTTAGCACAGGGTCAACATCGCAATGAAATGTATTTGACAAGCAGAAGACAGTCACTCAGCAGAATGGTACAGTAGAAAAAAATAAAATAAATTAATAAAAAATAAATAGAAAAATAGTAAAGAGCAAAATATTAATAAGATGTAGTAAAAGAAAAAGAGATTTTCAGTTAACTGACTAAATACAGTGGGGCAAAAAAGTATTTAGTCAGCCACCGATTGTGCAAGTTCCCCCACTTAAAATGATGACAGAGGTCAGTAATTTGCACCAGAGGTACACTTCAACTGTGAGAGACAGAATGTGAAAAAAAATCCACGAATTCACATGGTAGGATTTGTAAAGAATTTATTCGTAAATTAGGGTGGAAAATAAGTATTTGGTCACCTCAAACAAGGAAAATCTCTGGCTCTCACAGACCTCTAACGTCTTCTGTAAGAAACATTTCACCAATCTTTGGATGCCCAGCTGTGGTGAGCCAGTACTAACTGTTGCCTCAGTTTCCTGTTCTTAGTTAACAGGAGTGAAAACTGGCGTGATCTGTAGCCCATCTACTTCAAAGTTTGACATATCACGTGCTCAGAGATGCTCTTCTGCATAACTCAGCTGTAATCAACGGTTATTTGAGTTACTGTTTCCGTCCCATCAGCTTATAGCAATGTGGCTATTCACCTCAGACCTGTGGGACACAGCTTTCTTAATTTCACACACTAAGTTTATGAAATTTGTTTTTGTTTTTCAAATGCATTACCAAAAAAACAAACAAACAACATACAAAAACCATAAAAACAAAAAAGTTTGAGGTGGTAACCAGAGTGTCAATAGTGGGACAATATGTGTGATTGTGTAAAGAGACTTATCTCACTGACATCACCAGGGTTTCTAATGAAACAGTTTTTAATTCAGTTATCAAACAAAGCTTAATGGGAGCATTATACACAGCAAGAGGAGGTGTGTTTGACTCTTGCAACTGTGGTTTTACACTCTACATTTAACACCTGAAACGTGTTGCTAAGGTTTAGCTATTGTGCTCTGAAAACATTCACATTCTCACCAGAACCCGTGCACCATAAAAATCATCGTTATCATCAAATCCTCACAGTGAAGGACAGAAAAAAAATCTCTTGTGTTTATACTAATCACTATAAGGCAGTGTTACTAATCTTATCTCATACATTTAGGTATCTGAAACACCTGGAAAGTGCTAAGATATTATTATTGGTCACTACTTTTACTCTGCAGAAAGAATTATGATGAGGACACTGAAGCAGGATCAGTTTCCCTCAGGAGAAGAGAACAGAAGATGTTTGTCATGTTATAGGCAGCAACTCTCTCAACCACAGGGTGGCACTGCTTGTTGTAAAAATAACAAACACACCAGTGAGGTGGCAGGCTGAATTCAATCTATGATGTTTAAGCAGATCCTTTTAGACATTATCGCTGACATTATCAGTTAGAGCCTGAAAGGTCCTGATAACGTTTAGTTATTTAGCTCTCAAAACATTCACATTTTCACCAGAACACGTGCAACACAGCAAAAGCAGAAAGTCAGGAAGTCACTACACAAGAACAGTTTGTTCAAAATCACACAGTCCTGAGATGAAATGTCATCAGTCAGCTGCTAATGAATATTTATACATGTCTGTTAATAGAAAACATATTAATGTTAATAATAATTCTTTATTGAGTCACGTAACAGTGAACTATTGATTATGACATATCTAAATGTCTTCCATAAAAATGACCTGCTGTTGTTAATTGTTCTACTTCACATTCATAAAGCAGAACAATCACAGTTGTGTCACAAAAAATCATTGCAGGTCCAGTTTTTATCTGGTGGGTAAAGACTGATTAACAATGCAGATGCAGTTTTAGCAGTTGAAAAATGCTCCTTTACTCAGATGCAGCTTATATTTTCCATTTATGACATGAGTGACTAAATTACAAGAGGAAATTAATTGCAATATAATTGTGTTAAGTTTCTGGAAGAAATATACTTCAGTTGTGACAATTCTGAATCATTGCATACATTACTTAAATGTAAATTATCGCTTCAACAAATGGTGATACATTCACATACATTAGTTCAGAGCTCAACTCTACAGCAAGTAACCACTTCCTTTTTTTGCGGCTCCTCCTCAGATATCAATACAGCTGACGGTGAAGTTCAGGTCTGTTTCTCTCTCTGTCTGATGATCACGATGTTCACTATAAATCGAGCAGCACTGCTCTTCGTTCAGCTGTTAGTGATGTGGGATGTCTTTGCAGGTAAAGAGCACATTTGTGTTTGAGATTCACTTTTTTACAGATGAAGTGCAGATAGAATTTTATATTGAATGATTGTCTCCTTTAAACTATAGAGATCGCTAAAGACGACCACAGAGCTGTGCTGGTGTCCCAAGGAGACTCAGTGACGCTGACTTGCAACATATCCAAGACAAATGCAACACAAATCTCCTGGACCAACAACAGATCTGTTTTTCATTATTCCAGTGAGCTGAATCGCACCTATTCAAATTTCTCATTGCATAGACTGAAAATAAATCATGAGTTTCCTACAAAGCTCATTATTTTTAGTGCTCAACCTGAAGATGAAGGACTTTATACATGTAAGTTAACAGACAAACGTGGCGTAAACAGCATTACATGGAGTTTAACTGTGTCTGAAAACCCCACAGGTAGGTAGACAAAAAGCAGATCCAGTCAATTCTAGCAAAGGTCAACCAAGCATTTTAAATTAATTCACTGCTGTTTTGATACAGAATCCACTTCATCAAAGTATTTTCTATACATACTTCCACCTGCAATTGGATTCCTTCTGTGTTGCATCACACTCGCTGTGTTTCTCTACAGGTGAGTAAAACCTTTTTATCTTCATAATGAATGCATGAATGTGATTATTTTGTGTTTGTCTGTAGAAGTGTTCTCAGTACATGTAAGACTGATTGGATTATAAAGCACTATTTTCTATTTTCTATTTCCTACATTGAAAGTGTTTAAAGTTTGTTTTAAATAAGTAAAGAGGGAAATGGAAATGTGATATTGTGGCTTATACCATTGCGTTCATAGACATGATGATTAATATTGTCATATTTCTATGATGTTTTTTAAGCAAATCATTACATTAGTGATCACAGACTCAGTGTGTCATTGCACAAAGCTCAGATCTTTCTCATTGCTAAATGCAAGTTTTTATTTAATAAGATGATGTATTATTATCTATCTTTGAAAACTTCAAGGATGAAAGAGCTCAGACTTTTTTTCACTACTTCTGTAAGCACCGCAAACCTGCTTTGAATTTAAAGTTGTGAATCAGCCCGCTGTGCTTTCTTGCGGGGGGGCTATTGTTATATACAACAGGGCAAAAAGTGTCAATGATAGTAGTAAAGAACTGGCTAAAAGTGGTTAGAGTCAAAGCTGTCATTCACTGGGGCAACCCTTCGCCAACATGTACATTTAAATCCTACAACTACAAAAGAATGCAAGCTGAACTCATTCTGTACAGATTCATCATACATTTGAAAAAAAAAAACCCCATTAAAATAACAAAGAAGACGTCGTCCCACTAAACACTGGATGTTTTATAGACGTGCACTTATGTTTTAGCTCAAGAGACTGCGTCAACTTGGAGATGTCCGCTAATCGCTCTGCATTCCTTCATACATTACTGTTATGATCAATCCCATTTCAGAAAGTGTTATACTTTTCTAGATCATTTTCCAATAACTTCCTAGCCTGTAGGAAACATGCCCTCCACCCTCTGGAAACATGGGACTACAGAAGCAGTATAAAAATAAGATCTGTCCACAACGACCACATTTGGACTATAAATAGCCTGTACATGGCGGGTCTACAGACATCAACATCAGACATTACAAAACAACCCCTTCAGTGTGTATCAAAATTTGACGTCCAAAAATGACATATGAAAGACGTGACACCAATATCACTTTGCATAGTAGGTTAGGGTTAGGTCTTGATCCCAGAGGTTATATGGGGTCTCATGTGTATGTTGTCTCTGTTTGGGGAATACAATCTTTGAGTCCTTCCATTCATGTAGATTTTCACATGGGTGGGGTAATACAGGAATACAGGAAGTGAAAGATCAAAAATGAGAGCCAATGAGGAGTACAAAATAAAACAGGAACAGAAAACAAACACACTAAAAATGCACAATGGTTTCATACTTCAGTGGCAGTGACCTCAATTTTACTGCATACCTATACAACAAACTGCATTCACACTCGTGTATATTATGCTTAAAAATCTAATATTATTTGCAATTATTGATACATGCACTGGAGTTCAGTATTTTGCTCAAAGACAACTTCACATGTGGACTGAGGGAACTCTAGATCAAACAATAAACCTGTGAATTAGTAGACTGCCCACTCTCCTAATTCACAGGCTGCTCTGAAGAACATCTTGAGAACTCAATCAAGAACCTCAGATATTCAACCTTAAAACCTCCTCAGATCTGTATCAGATTGAGGACTGAGGTGGCAGAACAAGCTGAATTATTCTGTTTTATGAATGTTTTGGTGGACAAACTAGATCGAAACAATACTGAGCAGGTGGTTTTAAAATTAAATAAATTACACCATTCAAATACTGCAACACAAACGTGAGGGTCACAAACAATGCACTTAAAAATCTAAAACAGCATTTAATTTACAGTTTGTGCTAATAGACATTTTGTTTAGCATTAAAGTTTTGAGTTTTAATTTTCAGTCCTTCACTAATTGACATTTACACAATAGTTTCAAAAAGTACAGGCATTATATTTTTTTTTCAAATATAGCATACGCACAATGTAGTTCCATTTAAAAATGGGGAAAAAAGTATATATATATATATATACATATATACACACACACATATGTTTTATTGATTTGAATACATTTAGCACTAATTATTGGAACATAAAATTTGTTTGGTAAGCTCATTGGCCCTTGACCTGCATACACAGGTGAATCCAGTCATGAGAAAGTGTATTTAAAGTGGCCAATTGCAAGTTTTTCTCCTCTTTGCGTCTTCTCTGAAGAGTGGCTACATGGGAGCCTAAAACAACACTCAAATGACCTGAAAACAGAGACTGCTCAACATCATGGTTTAGGGGAAGTATACAAAAAGCTATCTCAGAGATTTCAGCTGTCAGTTTCCACTATGAGGAACATATTGAGGAAATGGAAGACCACAGGCACAGTTCTAGTTAAGGCTGGAAGTGACAGGTCAAGAAAAATCTTAGATAAGTAGAGGCGAAGGATCGTGAGAGTCAACCCACAGACCAGCTCCAAAGACCTACAACTTCATCTTGCTGCAGATGGTGTCACTGTGCATTGTTTAAGTCAGACCTTCCCAAAATGTGGGGCCCGCCCCCGAGGGGGGGGGGGCGCAGAGCCATGGCAGGGGGGGCGTGGTATGAAAAGGGGGGAAAAAAAACAAAAAGCTTGGACACTGCTAGCATGGGGCACCTACACAAACGCAAAGCAGGAGATGAAGCATCGCTGAATATGTTTCCAAACCAACTTCATTCTAAGCCAAAGACTAGAAAATATGATGAAGCATATCTTCCCTTTGGCTTCACCTGCACAAGTGCCAAGGTAGGTCTCCCCTGCAGATTTGATTTTCCCTTCGTGGGGAGCAGCGCTGGGCTGTTCAAATCATGGACAAACAGTATCCCACATTCTTGATTTTTAGTTCACAAACACTTGTTGTAATGACTAACTACTCCTGACATTTTGGAGATGTTAGCTCTTTATACAGTAAAGTTACAGTGGGATACAAATAACATCAGGCCGTTTCTGCCACGATTTGTGCCCCATGCAGTTCAAATCGCGGACAAACAGTATCCCACAGCTGTTTATGTTTTTAAACCCATTTAGCACAGAGAGGCATTTTTTGATTAGATTGCAATGTTGAATAGTATTACACAGGGGAAAAAAAACAACTACACGTAAAATAATCACACCATGACGCCTCTGCCTTTCTAAATGGAGGGACAGTAACTGCGTGCATATATGTAAACTGTAAAACCTGAAGATAGTCAGATTAACAGAAACGGTATTTTGTCTCTATCTGCCATTCTGCAATTCATCTCATGTAAACCGCAACGTGGCGCACAGCGTGACGTGAAAAAAGGCGCATACCTTTGACGTTGCGTGACGAACTCTGTATTCCTCGTCCACACGTAAACGCAAAAAAAGTTTTAAAAAAATCTCAGTTTTTGGTGATTCGAAACGCCGTTTATGTGTGGACGAAACAGCTGCGTTTTCAAATATACCCGTGTAGGTGTGGACGTAACGTAAAAGAGTTAGTAGTTTATTTCCTTACTACCTGTAATTTATTGCAGATTAGTTGTATTTGCTTAATTGCTTACTAAATGTTTGAGGTGTGAAATAAACTGCAATGGAGCAAAATATGGGTGTGTGTGGTTGGAGGATGTGTGAACATTTTTCTTGTAAAACAAAGGGGGGCCTAGCAAAAAAAAGTTTGGGAACCACTGGTTTAATTATTCAGTGCACTTTGCAGAAGGAGATGCTGGATGGGAGAGTAATGCAGAGGAAGCCTGTTCTGCACACTTGCCACAAACAGAGTCACTTGGGGTATGCTAAAGCACATTTGGACAAGCCAGCTTCATTTTGGAATAAGGGGCTGTGGACTGATGAAACTAAAATTGAGTTATTTGGACATAACAAGAGGCGGTATGGTGGAAACAGAACACAGCATTCCTAGAGAAACACTTGCTACCCACAGTAAAATGTGGTGGCGGTTCCATCATGCTGTGGGGCTGAAGTGCAGGTACTGGGAATCTTGCTAAAGTTGAGGGTTGCATTCCAGTCAGTATCAGCAGGTTCTTGAAAATCTACTAAGACGTTCAGGCAGAGGATCAAGTACAACATTCTGGAATGGCCATCTCAGTCCCCAGACCTGAATATTATTGAAAATCTATGGTGTGACCTAAAGTGGGCTGTCCATGCTCAGAAACCATCAAACCTGAGTGAACTGGAGATGTTTCGTAAAGACGAAAGGTCCAAAATCCATTCAACCAAAATCCAGACTCTCATTGGAAGCTATAGGAAGCATTTAGAGGCTGTTATTTCTGTAAAAGGAACATCTACTTACTTAATACTTAAGCTACTGTGTACTTCACACACATGGGAGATGCCAAACTGACTTTCATTGTTCTTGTAACAGTGACAATAAAATATCATCGTGTTCATCTGCTACATGATATATTTGAATGAAATTGCTGATCCAAATAGCCAGTGATTTACGAAGGAAAATTATCAAGGGTGCCCAAACTTTTGCATACCACTGTAAGTCCAAAATGCAGTAGGAAGAAGTATGTACATACTTATTAATCCCTACCCCACGCTCAACACTCTATTGAATCAACATATTCGATGTTACCCCAACTTCCCCTCATCACTAGCCCCACACAATAAAGACAGGCTGAAGGACATGTATAACCATAGCTACAGTGATAGATATAAATCAGATACAATTTAGCATAGTTATATATACTATCTTCATCAGCTTTATCAGTTTCATATTCTTCCAAAAGCACGTTTCAAAACATCTTTATGGACGGACTAATGCTTGAACATTGCTGTACCCACAGGAAAACTGTTCCACAGTTTTACTCCACAAATGGTAATACAAAAGGTTTTAACTCTTGTCTGTGCTTTAAGAGTCTTCAAATTAAATTTTCCCCTCAAATCATAGTCCTCTTCTCTGTCAAAAAACATCCTTTGTACATTTCCCGGTAACATATTATATCTGGCTTTGTACATAAGCTCTGCTGTTTTTTATTTTATAAGATCCATAAGCCTCAGGATTTTCAATTTTAAGAACATAATGTTAGTGTAGTCTCTAAATCCTGCTTTAGTAATCATCCCGATTGCTTTTTTCGGAGTTTTACATAATGTTATCTATTTGTTATCTATTATCACACCCAGAAATTTTGTATGAGAAACTTGCTCCACTTCAACATTATTTATCAACAATTTGCTCCAGCATCTCTTTTACAATTTCCAAATAACATAAATGTAGTTTTATTCAAGTTTAGCAATAACTTATTGCTATCAAACCATATTTTCAGTTTAATGATTTCTTGTGTGACAATTTCCAAAATCCGTAAATTCTCTCCAGCACAAAAAATATTTGTATCATCTGCAAAACAACCTGTAATATATCAGATGTTTTACATATATCATTGATGTACAGGATAAACAGTTTTGGTCCCAATACTGACCCCTGTGGAACGCCACAAACACTGTCCAGGCACTCTTATTGATATTCACCAATCTTCACAAATTGTTTGTTTGTCTATCAAATAATAAGCTTTTTTTTTTTTAGGTCAACAAAAACTCCAACTGTGCATTTTCTTTGAACTATATTATTAATGATATTTTCAATTAGTTCAGTTAATGCCGTGGATGTTGATCTGTTTGGTCTGAAACCATACTGACTGTCCATTATTACTTGATGTTTATCAATGAATTTGTCAAGTCTGTTAATGAAAACTTTTTCCAGTATTTTTGAAAATTGTGAAAGTAGAGAAACAGGCTTGTAATTTATGAACTGGTGGTATTACTTTAGCTGTTTTCATTTGTATTGGGAATATTATATCCTGTTATAACAGGATGTTCCAAAATTCAACCCTATTATTGCAATAACCATAGTAATGACAATACTTAAAGAACTGGGATGTGTCAGTAATGGGACTGAAAAACACAATAACTGTATACGCAACTGTTTACATTCACTTTCAAAGGCGATTTTCACATTTTTCTTTGCTATGAACTGTCAGATTATGTATTGTGCAATTAAAAGTGTGTGTCATACATATCACCCATAATTCATACCTCTAATTTGATAAATATCAAAAAGCAGCAACAGATATTTATAATTTTCACTATAAATAATCCACTATCAGAAAATTTTCAAAGGAAGGAAACAAAAAAAAGAATATGTTTTGTGTTTATTCTAGTCATTATGAGGCAGTGTTTACTCATCCTGTCTTACTGAAACACCGGGTAACTTCTAAGATTTTATTATTGGTCACTTCTTTTTTTGCAGAAAAAGCATGATGATGAAACTAAATCAGGATGCCGTCCAGGATCAGATTCCTCCTCAGTCAGGAGAAGAGGTCAGAAGATTGTTGCCATCTTTAACACTGTCACATGTCTCTGCCTTTGTACAGTCTGTACTTTGTCTTCATAGACATCTCTCCCTCAACCACAGGGTGGCAGCACTAATTGCAAAAACAACAGACAGAGGAGTCAGTATATGGAGAGACTGAATTCAATCTATGATCACTTCAATATATGATCAACTGAAAAACCTTCCAGTTCCTGACAGACATGAACAGTGTCAAAGGAGAAACTAAAAGGGAACGCCATCAGAGGGAGGACACCCGGGCTATAATACCCTCAGCTTCAGCTCAGACAAATGACTCTGCCTGTGAGCACAACAGTTCCAACCATCCATCACCATCCAAGGAGCTTTTATATCTCAAGGATCTTTGCTGTAACAACTTTGAGAGCACTTAGTTTGACAGAAGTGTTTTTCTTCATCTGTGAGTATAAGACCAGGTTCACGAACCTATGTACTGTCAACCTATTGACTGACTATAAGAAAGCCTATGACTCACACACGGATCCTGGAATGCCTAGAAATACAAGAACAACAGGACCCTAAGAGCCTTCATCAGGAATTCAATGGGGATGTGGTGAACAATGCTAGAGGCCAACTTGAAGCCAAGTGCGTGGTCAAGTGTGGGATTTACCAAGGAGATGCACTGTCCCCACTGCTGTTCTGCATAGGCCTGAACCCCCTTAGCCAGATCATCAACAAGACTGGCTAGGGATATCAACTACACAATCAAGCAATCATTAGCCACCACAACTATATGGATGACATCAAGCTGTATGCCAAGAGTGAACGAGACATAGACTCACTGATCCATACCACTAGGATATACAGCAATGACACTGTGATGTCATGCGGACTGGAGAAGTGTAGTGAGATGGTAACAAAGAGAGGGAAAGCAGAACTGAGCGAACTGCACTAGCAGAAGGCAACAATGCAGACATCAAGGACAGCTACAAGTCCATCCATACCATGCATGGAGGGTTTCACCATATCCTGGGATTGTGCACTAAGCAGAATGAAGGAGACTAGTGAGTGTCAGTGTCATTATTGCTTTACTTTGTAGAAAAATAATGATAAGGACACTGAATCAAGATCAGTTTCTCCCTCAGTCAAGAGAAGAGATCAGAAGATCGTCATCATCTTTAATACTCTCAAATTTTGTCTACCAAATTTTATTTTAGCCTTTTGTCTGTATAGGTAAGTATATTTATTTATACATGATTTGAAGTTCTCTGAACCATTTTCCAACAAAAGACACTCAGGAAATTCAGACCTCCACCAAGGCAGGTCACTCTCTGTGCAGGATTTTAGGGAATAGTGTTGTAATTTATATTCATTATTTTGTTTTCTTTGTTGCTTTTAAGCATTTTAAAGAAGTTTCACTGCAGAAATAATTAAGTGTAAAGTGCAGACGTTTGCTGTTTGCCCCACAGAAATACTTTTTAATATGTGTGCCATAATTTTGAGTATAATAATAATAATAATAATTTTTTATTGTTCATTAATGTGGATGTAGCGGATGTTTGTTTAGTAAAATGTCCTTAAATATTTAGTAATAATTAGCAAATGAACAAACGTTTTCTATGTTAATGAACATTTTTGGAGTTTAGCTATTCTGTTTTTACATTTTGTATTTTTGTATTGATTTGTTTATTTTGTCTTTACGTCAGAGAGTGGTACAGAGCTGTGTTGTTGTCAACAAGACACTTGGTGATGTTGACTTGCAGCATATCCAATAAAAAAAAGATAAAACAATAATCTCTTGGATTTTCAATATTTCCTTCTGCTAGAATCACTGCACATAAACAGCAGTTATAGTTATTTGACCTGCAGCATTCACACTACCCCTCTAAGTATACTTGAAATGAGAGGAGAGTTAAACACAGAATTAATTTGACTGCAATCTGCTATCTACTGACATCTAGTGGTGAGATTACAGCTACACACTGTACCTTAAATCAACCTCCCAGTTTTTAAGTGACTGTTTAAGATTGACATATTATTTGTATGTTGAAATGTTATGTGATTAAACTTCATGAACCCTTAAATTTATTTTATTCACTGAAGACATTTATACATGGTGCAGCACGGTGGCACAGTTGTTAGCACTGTTGCCACACAGCAAAAAGGTCCTGAGTTCAACTCCACCATGAGGCCGGGGTCTTTCTGTGTGGAGTTTGCATGTTCTCCCCATGTTTGCGTGGGTTCCCTCCGGGTACTCCGGCTTCCTCCCACTGTCCAAAGACATGCAGCTTGTGGGGATAGGTTAATTGGATAATCCAAAATTACTACTAGGTGTGAATGTGAGTGCGAATGGTTGTCTGTCCCTGTGTGTTGGCCCTGCGACAGACTGGCGACCTGTCCAGGGTGTAACCCTGCCTCTCGCCCTATGACAGCTGGATAAGCAGAAGTGAATGGATGGATAGAATGGACATTTATACATGTATTTATACATGACCTGCAGTCCTTCATCGCTTCTAATTTTATACAGAAACCATTTCATCAAAGTATTTTCTATACAGACTCCCACCTACAATTGGATTGCTTATTGAAAAGGATGATTCTTGAAATTGTGTCCAACCGAGATACACTGTTAATCAATGTGACATTTAATAGATACTAATCCAGCCTTTCAACTTTTTATTTGATCAAATTTCTGCTCACTGAGTACCAATTTTATTCTTTTTTTTAGTAAATCTCTCTAAATCTGAGCACTTTATATTTTATTAATATGACTGAACTTGATCCTCACTTAACTGCTTAAGTTATGCTACAGGTAAAATGTGCTTTTTAAGAAAAGCAATCCATAGTTTAAAATAAGTTTGATAAACATACACATTAGCATATTAATATACATACTGGCATATTTTCAAACTTGATCTGTAAGATTCTTTCTTATGAACGACGTTTGAATGCATAAATGTATAATATATATATGAATATATGTAACAAGTGGAACATGTAATGTTTTTAAATAGCAAGTAGATTGTGACAGTTGATTATATTTATATTATTAAGTTGACAACTTGGTTAGTGATAACTGGATAAATGTGATTTAAAAGGTGGCCTTTAACCTTTGTGTGTCTAAGATGAATACCTGGGATTTACAGAACGAGATGTTTATTATTAGTGGTTTTTAACATCACAAAAATGTGATGACTCAGTTTAAACAATCTGAGAAGCATTTTATGTGAAGTATATTGAGTTAATATTTTGTGAAAGATTTAAAAGAAATCCAGCTGTACAATGAAATAAAAATTCTAATAAATAAAATGTGTGATTGAGTGCAGACAAAATGGGTAAAATGAACTTTCATTTTATTGATAAAAGATTCAAACTTGAGAAATTCTTCAATTAGAAAATAAAATGTATTAATTTAGTGAGCACCCCAAACTATTTGTATTTTTAAAATGAATGAATGAGCCAAGGAAGACACTGAAAAGAAGAAATGTCAGTGGTAAGGTAGAGGTGACTGACATGATTTCTAACTTTGGGAAATCTTGGGTCCTTTCATTTTGCTTTGAGATCTTCAACTTTCTGAAATTCATTTCCTAAATACACAGTTTTTACTTCATTAAACCAATCAGTCCAACTTTACAATGTAAAAGCACACCACAGTATTTGGGTGTTATTTTCAGAGGTGGTGATGTAGTGTTGCAGTTCAAAGTTGCCTCTCTACACAAGTGAGTCACACGAGAGACTAAATTATAGGAGACAATTATTTGTCATATAATTATATTCCCACTTCACGTTCCATGTTTGAACTGTGACAGTTTGTTGTGAATCTGAAATATTGTATAAATTACTCCCATGTAACAT